CTACTGTATAATTAAAACAGTTTTTTAAAGGAATGATAAATAAAGACTTCTATAATGTAAAAAGTAGATCATATCCATCACAGACATTTTGGGTGTAATTTGATATTGTTGTCCAAGTTATTATGAGCCACACCAGACTGCTGATTAATGGGTTGTAAAACTTAAAATTGAACTTCTAACATGCAGATGATTCTGGAAAACTCATGAAATACATATGACAATGGTAAACGTAAACTATGGGATGCATAAACTAAAAATAGTCAAATAGTTTTCAATGCAAAATTGAAGAGTTTGCCAATTCCAGCACCCTACCTTTATTCACAACCTAAGGATGCATAGGTGATGAGAACGGACAGTATACAAAGTATTTATGTTAATCTGAAAGCCATTCTCCTCAAAAGTCTTATGGTGAAATGTAATTGACCCCAGGAAGATTTTCTCTACTATTATGTTTAAAAAATTAACAATCCTAAAAATTAAATTGCATCTTTGCACGAATTCCACTTAAAAAAGACATATGGAACTGATGGAAATTCTGTCTACCAGAGGTAATCAGACACTCCATGCAAAGTTAGTGCACTCTGGCCTAAATACCCTGTAAAGTGAGCCTTGTATTGTACAAGCTCGTAAGCTATAGTAACTCATTATATTGTATATTATAAATCTCACAACACATTGATTGCACCATGTTCTGATGTTTCACGTAGTGTTATATGGATAAGAAAGTAAGCAACCAACAATATTATAGCCCACAAAAAAGCTCTGAACGTAATTTAAAGCTCCTAACATATTACTTAAATCTGGTGCTTTGTATGCACATAAAAACCCAGGGTGAAGCTAAATCTATGTGACAAGCATCCTGTCAACCTTCAGAGAATCCAAAGAAACTTTAAGAGGACCCTTGCTTTTGGTACTTGAAGGAACTCATGAAATTGAATGGTTTTTTTTTTCATCTAATGGGCCATCAAACAAAATGAGTGCATCAAAAAGAGAGCCCAAGGGGAAAACAAAACATGAAAGGACCAGGTAATTTAAGTGCTTGGACCTACATGCCAGGTTCTGTATATTACAAACAAAGTGCAGGTGAAAGAAGCTACTGCTTTAGCATCCAATAAGATTACTAGAATCTTAGAAGCATATATAAGGAATTGAGAGGGCGAAGAATAAAACATCAGGGGATATGCAATGTTCTGTCGAGACAGAAAAGCTAGAAGAGAGGGGGGTGTAGCTTCGAGCATTAAAAAGAACGTAGGCACAGGAACTTAGTTTAGATTAATCAAGGGCCTAAATTAATCTGTGTCAAAAACAAACACAGATGCCAAAAATCAGTCAAAATCATTTAATATAGCAAAATAGTAATTGCAAAACAAATTAGTAAAAAAGAAAACACTTTAAAAAGTGTCAAAAAAGAATGGGAGTTAGGAAGTAGAATACATTGCAAGCTCAAGTAGAAATGAAATCGACAGGACAAGCTGGACACAGAATGAAATATTGCAATAGAGGCCTAAAATACTGTAGATAATGAAAGTATTTTTCCGTTTCCAGATAAAAATAAAAACCTAATAAACATATTAAAAAAACATAAAACATCTCTCACCTTTCTGTTGTTAAAGCCTTTGCCAATTTCTAACCTTATTAAAAAGCACATCGTCATTTCATAATGAATAATTTCCTTTTCTTTTTATTTCAAATGTAATTGGCCCTCATTATGTAGAGTACTTTCCATTATCTTATTTTAAGCACTTTATGCTGCAATCCAGACCACATATCTTGATTGTCATATGTCCCTTACTCAGGACATTACTGTATGTTAAGACCTACTGATAAAATGTACTTGACAAAATCAGACTGGAAGCATGCAGTATGCTGTGCATTTATTGCGTTTATGGGTGTGTTATGGTAATTGTCAAATCCATTACATTATGGAAAACAGATCCTATATTCTCTGTATCATTTTAATGTATTTCCGCAACTGTGAGATTTGACAGGGCAGTTAGGAACATTTTACACTTTTCTATTCCATTTACTTAGATTAAAGGATTGGTTACTTGTTTTATTTATCTGCGCAGAAATTAATCCTGCAGCAATGGATGAACCATATGGCATAATTACAGTATATAGTATTGTATTGTGTAATCCTTCACAATTAATCTAAATTAAACGCATAGCATTTTGACGGCTTCTGTAACTGTTGATGGTTCATTTCAGCTAAAACAAATACCATCAGAAATTTAGAGCTTAAATGAAAACCTAAGGCTAATTTCATGTCTCAAACTTCTCCCTTAACTTGTGACTTTAGCTGTTTGCTGTGTTTTCTTGTTGTTTCTTTTTGCCCAAGTGTGGTAGACAGTGAGGATATTGTTTATATCAAAGTCCTCACTGTATCAAATTGCAACCAATTGAATAATTTTATAATACAAGACTGTGGGACTCTTTGTTGCTGTTTGTTCCGAGTTCTTGTGGTAGATTTTCTCCATAGTCCCTGCTGTGTAGCAGACAATGTTGTTTACTACCTACTTTCTTCTCAGTGTCAGCTTTCTAGAATTTTAGAATAGAAAAATAACATTTTTAAATTAAATTATGTGAATATAATCATCTTTAAAAGCATGTTGGTTGCACACATTTGTTCTGTTCCATGGAAATCCCTACTTTCATGCCAGCATACTTTGCAAAACGCAGAACATCAAAGATAATAAAATTACTGCCATTTTAAATAAGATTGAGACCATTTACTGTAGTACAGTACTGTATATGTAATGTCCTATTTGTCCAATTGTTTTTTTATCCCCATTCTTGAGCTTTTTGTCAAAAAATGCCATATTTTGTGTTTATTGTCATTATTTTATATTTAAAAGAAAAGAAGCATAAGGCATATATTATGCAGATAAAACTCCATGGTTAGCAAGATATTTATTGAAATATTACCATGGACAATGGTAATAACACCATGGACAATCCACTTTAATTTCAACCATGTTTAACATGTTTCACGAGTATATGAATCACATCTTCCCTGAAGACAATTTGTTATTCATAATAATATTTTCAGACTAAGGAATAAAATTGTGCCTCCTTATTTTATTAGCTTGACTTAGTGAATGTTTATTGATGAGGACATAGAGCTTTATGCTTGATCTTGGAATGGTGTCCAATATATATTTTTTAATTTTACTACTGCAAAACTCGCCAATGTACAAGTATAGCCATTGATTTCACTTACCTTCTTTATTTAAAATATTGATAGAAATGGGATGGTCTGTTATAATAAAGTCTTTTATTAATAGTAATGTTAACTGAGCATTTCATCACAGATAACACAGCATAAGAAAAATCTAAGTAAAGCACAGTCAGTGTACTAATGTGTTTTTCTATATTCTGTGATCTTGGTTTCCTATGCTGGTACTCATGTCAACTTTATTTTCTTCCTCACCTTATTAGACCACATACAGAGATGACTACATTCCTCAGACTCTCATGTGACTCTGTGTTTGTTTTTGTTTTCACTAAGCAATCTCATCTGGTCTATTGTAGTCCAGTAAAGTTCTCTGAAGGTGAAAGCAGACCTGCCCATTTTATTCTTGTTGACTCTGTTTTCCATTCTGTTTCATGGTCTCCAAGGCTGTGCTGTAAGGTTGAGATTCTCCCCCCAGATGGAGTCTGTGTTTTATGGGAAACTTCAGACTACACTTCATCTGCACGTTCCCACATACTTTACTCACTCTTAAAATGGATATTTTATATATCTCCCCCCACCACTACCACACACCCACACAGATCAATGTTCACTTCAGCAGGAACAAAAAAGATCAATCTCTGTTGTTTTATGACTCTTGTGAAAGCAGAGGTGGGTATAAATGTTGACAGAACAAAAAAAAAAGAAAACATTTTAGTTTATTTTAGAATAAAGAACTGCAGTGAATCAGTTGTGATTTAAAAGGCCCCATAAGTTTGGGGTTAGCAGACATATTTTATCAATTATATACATATACATGTATTACAAGTTTTTATGCCCGTTGCTTGCCACCTCCCCTGTGACTCTGTATTGCATACAGTACACTGGCAGGAAAATGGATGGATACTACAAGTTAAATATTTCAGTGAACTCAACCTATTAAGTGTGTTGTACAGTACTGAAGTAGTTCAAGTAGGCAGCTGAATCAGCACGTGTAGGCTGCAAAGGAACAAGTAAAGGTATATTCCATGATGAAAAGAGAAGAAAAGAAACATGTTTCGGCTGTAGAGTTTTCTTCTGGTGTGCACTGTACAGTACAGTATATGCAGCACTGTGCAAAGTTGCATCGTTCTAATATTTTCACATTTTCTTACATTTTTCAGAGTTTTTCCTACCTTAAGGCAGAAACAAAGTCCTGTAGAGATTTACTGAGATTTTAACCATTTTATCTGAATTTACATTTGACCAGTTAATCCTACTAATCATGTGGTACAAAAAGCAGCCTTTTAGCAAGAAACACATTCTTATTTCTTTGATAACACACCTTAGGAAGTATTGCCCAGAGTACAAATCAAATTAATAAATGAACAACCACAATCAAAACATCTGAGAAAAAATTGCAGCTAGTTTCATTCCTAAGAAATCTAATGCCTTTCCTGACTCTTTTGAAATAAAGTTCCCATCTGTCAGCAGCAGCAGCTCAGGAGGAATGTCCTGAAGGCCAGAACACATGTTCACAGGAAGGTGGCCTCTGCAATTCCTGCAAAGCTACAGTGTACAGGAACTTCTAACAACTGCATCTGCTTGGCAGTCACCTGGGCAATGGTTTCAAGATTGTTAATACACTTTTGAAGGTCTAGAAAGTTCTTCTGTTTCATCATCATCATCATCATTATTGTTGTTGTTGTTGTTGTTTCCAGATTGTATAATATTGACCAAAAATATCTGTGTATAACTGCTCTGCCTATGTTGAGCCGTGAGTTGTACTTAATCTGTGCAATGTAGGTCATCCTACTCATAAATGAGAAAGACAGGCGCAGGCGGAAAAGATTCCAAGGGAAGACGTGAAAGGTAGCAATTGTTCTGTAAAAACGCATTCTGATAGATTTGTCTTTATATTCACGTACTGAATGTAAAAGGACGTTTTCTGCAAAATCGGTGGACACAATAATATCGCATGCTCTCACAACAGCACTAGCACAGTGCTACAATGTCATGTAAATGTTTGTATTAGTATGTTTCTATTTTTTTTATTTAGTTCTGACATAGTACACTTTACCTAATTAATCAGTTTTAAGAAAAAAATAAAAATACAAATAAGATTTAAAAAAAAAGATAACCATTTAATAACATTTTTATTTTAATAAATATAATTGCATCTTATGATACTGCATTTGGTTCAAACTCGTTTAAGCAAATAATTGTTTTACCATTAATCGCATTAATATTGAAGCAGGAGAACAACATCGGGAGAGCCAGAATTACAGTAATAACGTAGAATTTTTAAATCGAAAAAATTGCAAAGATAATTCCTACATCGCCAAATTATTGTTGAAGCAAAGGAATTTAAAGCTTGAAGATGCAAGTCATTAAAATCAGAAAGAAAACTTTCCAATAATGCCATTGAACTATCGCGGTGAAGCAAAAACAAGAAAAACAACACACACAAAAAAATGGTAAAAAGGATTATTTAAATATCGCGGCACTAAAGACCCCTGAACTGAACAGTCAAATCTGCATGGCAGTTTGAAAAAGTACCTTATTTGTTTCTGTGTTTAAACATTCACCCTTGTTTCTATAGGAACAGACGCCAAGAGAAAGTCCCAGTGGTGGTGAGATGAATCTCATGAATTTTTTGTAAACCTATGGCTAAATCAAAATTAGCACTAGAACAGCACTAGAAGCCTGGACAAAATATAATCAAATCAGTGGGATTATTGTAATTTGTGAATCTCGTCTACATTGTTGCTCCATTTCATAGATCACAGGCATTTCGATAGGCTTTTTGTTATAATGTGCAATTTCATGGTTTGCGTTTTAGGACTCTCTGTAAGACGGAAACATTTGTTTCTATTTATTACTAATTCTGTTGCTTTTGTGAATGAAAGTAACCAGGTTTGGAATGGTACAGTATCTGCATATTCCTCAGGAATTATTTTTTCAATGTTATTTTTGTTGTATTTTTGTATGCAGCTTTATTTAACTGTTTGCGTTCTTAAACTATGAACTATGCTTGTAGCATACTGGCTTTTGTCTTAAATGTTTCTATCAAATAAATACAGTAAATTTAGCTTGACGAGAAAGTTTTAGAAGACAAGTGTTTTCAGCTCAGCATTTATTTATCTGTGCACGGTTATCAGTAATAAATAAATAAGAAAACAGCCTCTCAATTTTTGAAATATTGTAGATGACTTTGTAGGAAAAGTTTAATGGAGTCAAAACTTTATGGTGCACTTTTCCTTGTCGTTATTTAAAAATATGTTTAGGACCTATAGACTTCTTTTCAGTTACTTCTGATAACGATCTCCAAATTTAAACATAATCGCACATCAATATTTAAAATTTCGAAAAAGTATCATGACTAAAACTTCGAACGTCAAAATATATGTTAATATATTTTGGTGATGAATTCTAAACACAGTTAGCTTTAGGAATTAAAGTTAATTTATTAAAATGTAGCTACAGTATAATCCAGTTGCTTTCCATTCTTAGTGGTCTCCGATACATTCTTAGTGGTCTTAGTACATTTTATACTGAGCTGTGATTTATTGTGACGATTGCTTACCTACAGGACACTGTGACATATTTAGTTAATAATTAGCATGTCCAGGCCTACATTTTCAATGTACCTCTGATATACAGTATGCCTTTATGGTTCAGCCCAGGAAATTTACAGTCGGTCTTGTTGCTGTTTTAGAGTCAGAAAAAAAAGAAGAAAATCTGCCGCAAAATGGCCAAAAAAAAGAAAGGAAAAGGAACCAGAACAAATGCAAAGCAAGGCTCAGTCACAGATGTTCCCATCATTCTTCGGAGGTTCTTAAGAACATATGAAAACCATTGTGCTCAAGCCCGGAGCAGTGTCAGCCCTACAATCAAGCAAAGCACACTACGCTGTATTGAAAATGAAAAGATCATGACAAAGGTGATTCCATAACTCTAGAGTTCAAAACACTTCCTTAATTAAAATTGTTGGGGTTTTTTTTTTGGTATGGTTTATGAAAATGAAATCTGCCTTTAATTAAATCATTTTTACTGGTTTACAACTTTATAAAACCATTATTTATATTCTAAGTGTATTTTGTCATGCTTCAGCAGGTAGCCAGCTAAATACATACAGTACTCTGTAATCCTAATACCAATAATCTCCATCACAGGTTTTGTAACACTGATTGCAGTAAATAAATAATACATCCAATAACATTTTTAAGACTCAAGACATTTGTGCCTGTCACTGTGACAGTATAGTTTCTCCCCGAATCTTGATTGATGTTTTTTAAATCTGTTTCATGTTAATCTTCTGACATTTAACTTTCTTTTACAATTCTTTACTTCAAGTGCCATGCTTCCATGTACAAGTGATGCTTTTTTTAACTGCTAGAATATATTTTCTATTCAGAAACATAATAGTATGCATAATAGAGTAGCTATAAGACAGTTTTTTCAAGCTGCCATTTTGAAAGCTGTTTAATACTGTGCTCACAGTGTCAAAACTATATACAGTACATTAACCACAACAGTGTTTTAACAATTCCTGAGAATATTATTCTCGTTTCTTCCATGTACATCTTTGTACTGCATGTAATTCAGGTGGGTAGCTGTGTCAGCATGCGTAGGCTGCAAAGGAACAAGTAATAGGTTTATTCCATGCTGAGACGTTCTTGACACCCGAAGAAGGCTCCACAGCCAAAACGTTGTGTTTTCTTGCTTCTCTTCTCAGTATGGAATAAACCTATTACTTCTTCATTAAATATATAATGACATCTCCTTATCTGCTGTATTATTTTTTGATGAGACAGGTTTTTATTAAAAGTCCTCATTATTTAGATTTTCCATAGGCAAGAAAATAATTTGAGAGGGGAGATTGTTGATGTTAGAATATGAGTTGTTTATTTTGCTTGCCAATGCACATTTAAAATGCACTTCAGAGAATGGACACCTTTTTGATGTCCAGATGTTCCCCCTCAGCTGCCAATGGAAGGATGTTTGAAATTGCACTCATGGATTTTTCTTTCTCACTGACAGTTATCCATCTGCTGTCATCGTTTTAATGTGAATATAGTTGTCCCATACTGTATCTGTCTAGCTTTCTTGGGTGTGTACAGTATATGGCTGGGTGCAGTGGATTCCTCCCTCCCCCTAGTGACATGCAGTGCCGAATTTCCCATTAGGACCTACGGAATTTTTAGGGCCTATGAAGGAGGGAAACACCAGTGACTAATGAAAAATGAGCTGAAACAACATGCTTGCAATCGGCTCTAGGTGCTCCAAATAATAATAATAATAATAATTGCTTACACTTATATAGCGCTTTTCTGGACACTCCACTCAAAGCGCTTTACAGGTAATGGGAACTCCCCTCCACCACCACCAATGTGCAGCATCCACCTGGATGATGCGACGGCAGCCATAGTGCGCCAGAACGCTCACAGCACACCAGCTCTCAGTGGGGAGGAGAGCAGAGTAATGTAGCCAATTCATAGATGGGGAGTCAACAGTCAAACGCTATCTAACGGCTGTTCTAGAAACTAGAAGTATCAAAGTGATGGTCGCTCGACTCGTTCCACCAGTCACGTGGTTTAGCATTAGAATGGTTTAAAGTGCATCATGTCTATCAACGTAACTCAATTGGCATTTACCCGTCTTTTTGCAAATTTCGAACACCAAAATCCGGCCCTGGTGACATGCTGGTTAGGTTGAATTGTGTATTCCAATCTGGCCCTTTTGCTTTAGCTTTGCAATGCACTACTTTAGACCCCTGGCTTCTGGGATAGGCTGTGACCTGCAGTGACCATCAGCCGGATTATGGCTCTCTGATAGCAGGTGGAGGAATGGAAGTTTGGTAGGTCTTAAAAGAAAAAAGATCTATAACATAATTTAAATAAATTCATTCAAAAAAGGTAGAGATACAAAACAGCATGAATCATAAAATAATCACTGAACACCTATCAGTGGATTTCAATGTATCTTTAAGTGCATGTTCTTTCCCATAACACATTCTAGACATGGAAAGCAAAAAATTTAACTATTAAAATCGTCACATCCATAAATGTGTTTAATTAAGGATTCTGTTAATTTTGAAGTATCCAAAGATGATATTTTGACCTTCATAATATGGATGTCTGTTTTGTTTGTTTGTTTTGTATTTCTGTAACATGGTGTACATGTACTTTCATCATATTTGAGAGGTTTTCCTCACATTAATGTGCTCCACAGATAACGCTTGCCTTTCCTGAATACAAGGCTGCCGATGCCCCACCAAAGAGTCTTCAACCATTGCTGATGACAATCCGGGATGAGAGGTACATGCTGGGAAAGCAATTGTGCGTGTGGGATGTAACTCTAAACAATCAAGACATCGCTGATCTTGTAAGTAAAGGGAATAATTTGTTGTAAAATATTCTGGAAGAAGTATAACCACACGGATAGAAAGCACTACCTCTAAGAACAAAATAAAGGCGACAGTCACAACTGCTGTTTACATTTCGCAGTGACCTTGTTGTCATTATGCCATCAGACCTTGAATTACTGGTAGTGAGGAAGTAAACTTCAGAGACAAAGGCAACAAGATGAAGCACGCTTGTAAGTGCAACTGTACTAGCGATAATCTTTACGATCCTACTTTTTAAGTTGTCCTTGGTCTAAGTGCAGACCAGCTGCAGCAGTGGGGAATGTGAAGATTAGATTGTAATCTGGTTACATTGTAGATTTCAGGTCACAAATCAGGTCACCGACAGTGTGTTATGTAAAAAATGTTGCTACACCGCCTTTTCCTTTCTATGAAATAGAAACCAGCAGGTGCTTGCATGATGTTTACATTCTGTAATACTAAACAGCAGAATAATAATTTATTTTTGTAATGTTTTTCACATTTTCGTTCATTAGATATGTTCATTATATCATTACATCATTTCATAATACATTTTGTATTCATAATACATATAATTGAAACCAGTGATGTAAGGATGCAGGAAGAATACCACAGGCACCTGTACAATACCAGATTACAATTTTAATACCCACATATTCTCTCCAAAACTCTTTTAAAACTGATTAATAAAAGGATAACAGGACTGAGAAATGTTTCCATTTTTTGTATTTGTGTCTAAACGGGGGACTAAATTTTGTCCAGTAAGCATATGGTTACAAGCAAGACAAACAGATATGGGTCATGGAACCATATTGTTTTTCTATGACACAGAAGAATTACATGAACATTTTTACTTGCTAAACTCCTGAAATTCTGTAGATGTAATGCAGCAAAATAGTGTATTTGAATCTCAAACAAACATTCCAGCATATAAATATTAAAAACTGTCTATGTGTTAAGATATTATATATTCTCAACATACTGTAGGCTATAGTACATGAATAAGTACTACAGTGTGATTTATATTAAAGCCATGTAAACATTATTGTGTGGGCTGGTAGACCATGAAGTGACAACGTGTCAGGTTCATAAAACAAATATGAATACTTCGTATACTCTCTGTTTTTTAAGCCTTCAGAGGTTATTCAGAAAATGGCTGTACAGTTATTGACAGGTTACATGAAGCATGAATTCCAAGACTGATTCATGGTCAATAGAAAAGAGCACAAATTAATGTCTGTGCTTTAAAAACAGTTTAACAGTACTCACTTTATCTAACTTTTTATGAATGATCCTCTTTGTGGGATTTGACATTACAAGATATGCCCATAAAGATGTTTCCTTTTGTAATATTTAATATTTAAAGAAACAACTGAGAAAAGGACAATACTCCCAAAATGATAAGTGGAACGTCAACATTCTTAACACAGTGTTTTCTCTTTTCTGGTTTTCTGCTTTTCTCAGTAACTCCAACTGTTTTAGCCAAAGAGGTTACATACTGTAGCAAATCTGATTATTTTTTCAAGAACTACATCCAAGACACCCAGCTGTGTTAAAGTTGTTTGTGTCAAGACATTACCATAAATAAAAGATGCATGCCAGTGAGTACTGCCAGTATCAATCAATTTCCAAAAACCTCCCAAAACATGAAACATTTAGAGCATCGTTGTAGTTTAAGGTAGTGATGGTAGCCCTGAGAGTAAATTCTCCTTGTTAAATGATATGTACTGCATTAATTTGTGTTGTTTAGAAGCTAATGAATACCTACTATTATTCACACATTCAGTATGCACTCATTTGTTTTCTGGTTGAGAAATATTAATTAGCTCCACAAAATAATATATTACTTTAATAATGTTTACTCGTGCTTTTGAATAATAAATAACATTTTTAAGACCATATTGATACCATATATTTAAGAATACAAACACAAAAATCAGAGTGCTACTCAGTCGATAATTTCTCACATTGTTCTCCAAGTAGCTGATTATGTCCAGAGCTTTGTGTAACCCTTCCTGTTACACAATCCCAATGATCGGCATAAAGAAAAGCATTAAAGCCCAATGTAAATGAAATCTTCAGCTCACCTGCCAGCAGCAAATTGTAAACATGTCACTTCATGAGAGGTAGGGGGTTCTGCTTGCCAGGGAAATTTTTCTATCCCATGGAAAGGAGCCATGTGATAGAAGCCAGTGAAATAACTTTTAAACTATTTGGGTATAAGGATTCCATTCAGTATGGACCTAAGTATCATTGTTATTATAAGATACCAATGCACATCTAATCCCACATCTAAATGTATTTTCATAAAAACCCCATTCTCCGTGATTATTTTTCCGAAGGAACTGTGGTTAACCTACATGTATCTATTCAAAGCTGCTACAGTATTTTGCTAGTTTTAGAATATCAACCTACTGTAATTGATGCCTTTGTACAGTAGAGCTTCTCTGAATCTATACTGAACATGGATTTTTTTACATTTTGGTATATGCCCAATGAGTTTGTAATCATCAATGGTTTTAAGACTCAATTATCCAGCGATGACTTCCATACCCTGAATGATACATGGATGTCTACCTAGGAAATGTCCACCAGAAGAGCCAATCAACATTGTTGCAGATTCCAGAGAACTATACAGGAGTAAGTTTAGAGAGCCAAATCTCTCACTTACATCAGGAGATCCCTTGAATATTTAGATGATGTCTCACCATTATGAATCTGTCTGTTCACTAGAACCAAATGTGGAAAATTTATATTGACCCCCAAAATGTTTTTTTGTGGAGTACTCAAGTTGATCTCAGCCTATATGGAACCGCATCCTGTATTTATTGAATGCAAAATATCGCAGTTTATTTTTCTCAGCAAAATCTACTTTTCCAACAATGCTGTCTTTAACGGCTTGCATACGGTAATTCAATTAAATTGCTGAGTACTGTGTAATTAATTTTGTGAGGCTTGTGCAACACGTTCATTTACTGTATAGGAACTACAGTAGCTGCTATTTGTTGATGCATTTTTTAATTTTAGGTTTGCAGTCGTATTTGACATTTTTAAATCTTTTTTTGCGTGAATATGAAAATGAACTGGAAATACATACATGTATTTGAGATTAACTTTTTACAGCTCAGGCAGAAATGGAGTTACATAATATTTGTTCTAGTGGGAAATTTTAATGATGGACATTTGGGCACATACAACTGATTTTTCTGTTTTCAGAAGGTTATAAAAAGAATCAGGAATCAACATGCACTATACAGTATCAGTTCCTTTTGTCAAGGCCTTTTATCCTGGGTCTTGACAGATACATTGAGATATCATGAATTTCTCACAAGGCCAAAGAGAAAAGCATATCAATCACACAGGTTTTTACTGTGCTGTAACAAGAGCTTTTCAAGACTTCCTGCAGACAGCATAATTTGCTCCACTAACTTTCTGCTGTAGTTAACCTGCTTTAGTGTGTTCATCTTTGTCTTTGTGTAATTGTACAGCTTCCTAGTCATGGATCATTTTGTTCATTTATGTCAACAATAAAATTAATGAGCTATTTGTTTTGAATCGTCATGGATTGCAATTCAACTCTGCGACAGTTTTGCATTTTTTGTTACATTTGTACAGTATACAAGTTTATAGTGTATTTATACAGTAATTGTATATTGAACGATTTGGCTGAATGATTATCTTACCTGTGATGGGTATCTTTGTACATGCATTATGACAACCTTTGTACTGTTACAGTAAAGGACAGGTAGTCTCAAGTAGACCGTCACTATTAAATAACAAAACTGTTCTGGAAGGAATGTTGAATATGTACTACCATGGCGACATTGCATTGTGTAGATTCAAGGGAGTCTGAAATAAGGTACTCAGAAATGTTGTTGAAGTTGATAAACTAGCTTCTGCTAATAGCTGAATGAGGTCTTTTGATCAGTTACAGTAACCACTAACCATCGAATGGGCTATATGCCCTGAATAGCCTCCATATATTTCCTTATGTTTTTAGGATCAAATCATTTTAGGATTAAATGTTGAATTTAGAATTTGCTAATGACAGGTGAGGTAAAGTTCAAGTATAATTTAGGCCCAACTCACACAACAAACAAGTTGCCATACAACTCATTCTAAACGCTCTCAAAGCTCTGCATAACTGTAGAATAAAACACCGAACTGTATTTCTGTGCTTTGGCCTACCTTTATTGAGATTAGGTATTTGTCACAGAAAGGTGGAAACAGAGATTGAAAATAAATGGATAAGATAGTGATGGGGTAGCACAGTGGCTCAGAGGCTAGCTTCCCATCTTGTGCTCGTTGCTTGCGAGGATAGGCTCTGGCTCTCCCGTGGGCCTGTATTAGATAAAGTGGTTGAAAATGGATGGAAGATAGTGAAGACTAGCCTTGTCTAGTCCAAGTTAATGAAGGACCTGGGGTTAAAAAATAATCTGCCCTTTTCACCATGGAATGTCTCATTCAAGGAAGTTTAAAGAGAAGTTGACTTGGCACAAATCCCAGTGGTGATTTTGTATGAACCGAACTGCTTCAGCCTCCTGCTGAGCTGTAGCAAAGTACTTCAACAATGATGGATGTTCCACACTGCCCATCTGCTTTCTAGATTTCTTGCAAACTGAATTTGCAAGCTGACCTTTGACAGTATCCTATATGTTTTGATAATGTTCTTAAAAATACACATGTTTAGCCAGAGAAATATAGAAATTTGTGCTGTGGCTGTACCTTTTCTTTTAATCTGGTGTAAGCGAGTGGATTTTTAAATTTCCCCTAAGAGAGATGAGCATTGGCTCATTTACAAAAAAAATTAAATTAAAGGAAATTAAAAAATACTAATTTTGCATTTATAGTTTAATCATGTTGAAAATGTTTTTATTTTTATCTGTATAAAGTTTATGGTTTAATTTGGGGGAACTAAGGTGCAAAGAATTGTTGGATGTGTAACACATTAAGTGTTGCAGAGCTATACAGAAAATTATTTTACCATGATAACCAAGTA